CTAGCCACTTGTGGAACAAACAACTGCTGACCAACCAATTAGTTCCTTAAGACGCATGTTTGGTTTTAATCACGCCTCGCCTGCAAGGTTCTCTATATCTTTGCTCGAAATTTACAATTAAACATTTTCACCATTATATTTTAATAAAATATTATAGAAATTGGCCCCTAGTCGCTTTAATTATGGACTAGCTTTAATGTTTGGACCCATAATGTAAAATGAGTAAAAACTTATTAATATAAAAAACATAGTGATTTTTGATGGATTCCACCTGTTCAAAGGCGCATTTTTGACCAAACATGGGTGTAATGTGGTATATGTACAGTAAACATACTTGCCACAAAGTCATAAGTATTCGATTTCCTTTAGTTACAACATTTCGTGACTTAAAGTGCCAAATATTGTTCTCAGTTGGAAATACATTAGTATTTAACAAGTTTAAATAAGAAATAAAAACCAGTACCTGCAATATGTATGTTAATCGCCTCTAAATTGGCGAGGGCCCTATGCACGCCAGATAACAATAATATAATCATGTGGTTACTGAAATTAAAATCCGAGTTAGACCACCTAAAACAATAGGCATCGATTCGGTTTACAACAAAACACAACCCGTCATCGCTGAGAGCAAAGTTGCATTAAAAATCCAGACACCAACTAGATATTTCGAGTCAGTGAACTACATTGATTATTGAAATGGGGTTGCCTAAAGTATACGCACGCACACACACACACACACACACACACACACACACACACATCTATAAAAACACATAATAACATGCCTTGTGCGGTTTCAAAATACAAAAGATGGACAGAACATGGATAATAACGATACCTGTTGACATATGCACGGAGACATCAGTCACATGGACTTTATTTTTCATAGAGCTGCTTGGGGAACATCAAAGCAGCCCCACGCATTTCCGTGGATTGTCTGATGCCTTAAGAGTGTTTCTGTTGATGCAAATGTTATGAAATAACTTTTTTCAATCAATGCTCAAATTTATGAAGAATACGCATCGTAATTCATTGAAATAAAAATACCTAGTTATAAAAGCTGGCTGTCGCACTTACATCGGCAAATAATAACAATAGTAATGAATCAAGAAACAAGCCATTGTTTAGAGTCTTTATAACAAGATTCTTTCAGCGGTCCATAAAGGGTAAGTTACAATACGTGGTTCAGGCAACATACAGCAGGGTTACTATGTAGGCGAGTCAGAACACTTTGATATTTTCAATCGACGACGACAGGTGATCCAGGTGACACTGTTATGACATTGATATTATTTATTACCTTGACTTAATTGTCTTTTCGGAAGGTGAAAGAGATTATCACCGGATTTCTACCACCTGTTTGTCCGTTCAATTTCCCATGGGAACCAGGGATTTACCTCGCATGACGCGTAGTTCAGTGACTGGTGACGACTTTCTATAAGGAGAGGGTCAAGGTTTGCCGTAATTGATCAAATGCATGGAGGCCGTCCTTGCCAAAACTCTGATAAGTCCATTGATGTATTGTCATCACTTTCATAAAGTGTTTCCTCCATTTTAATAATTCGATATGTTAGACGGACTATTGTGTGATGATTTTGTTGACATCTGATGGGTTGAGGTCCTGAAGAAATGACTAATAATGACGCCACACCTAAATTGTGTACGTCTTATTTAATACAGTTTTGTGTGTTATTATTATGAACTTAATATTCTTTGTTTGCATATGTCTAAAAGATAGACATAGATTTGAGGATACATTAACTGGTTTTCTGTTCTCAAATAAATCTGCAATTTGTTTCCACCCGGTCACAAAAAAATGGCCGATGTGCAAAGTATGTGCAAAGAAAAAAATCAGCCCAAAAATAATGCAAAATTTAGAGAATGGTACTTAGAGTCCTAATTCTTAAAAGACTCCGTCTGGCTATCACATTATAGTATCCGCGTATTGCAATCCTGATACATTAACATTCCGCAAATGTCGCCATTAGACAAAACGGGATTTTTTTATTACATCAACCTCCACAACAAATGTTCAAGTGGAATCGCAATGTCTAAAAACAGGTCCATCGCTGTTTTGTGCACATTTGGTATTTCCACTGGAATCGATCATTTTCAGATTGCGACAAGTTGTATCACAGCCTCGTGTGAAATTCGCACCAACCGCACTCTACGTTTGTCGCTGTATCGTTTCTTTGCCACGTAGCTCCAGCTGTGTCCGCTAAAGGCGCAAACCATTAGGCTTCTTAATGAAAGATAACCGTAAATTGCATTTCTCTGTGTTACACAATCCGTTTTCTTAGAATTTCATGCTATATCTATGGTTATAAACTAAGACTTCATGTACATACATGTAGGTGACGTCATAGGTACCTACACGAAACGTAAACGCACGTTTATCACACTTGAACATTTTGTGATCTGCTATTGTAAAAAAAAAACGGTTTACAGTCATTTTTACAGAAATGTTGATCAAAACAGCGGGGTTAATGTGCATTCCCAGAAAAGTCCGGAGGGGCATATTTAATCATTTTTATTTGTTCAAGAAACATATTTGATAATGGTTACATACACAGGTGGCAATTCGCTATTTTAGCACTATATGCTCACCTCGGGACGGACTAATTAAGTACGTACAGACGCCAGGAGACCGCTTGCATTGGCTTCTGTTCATTCACAGTGACACTGGAAACGTCTTTATTTAAGAACGACTCTATCATGGCCACAGTATCCAACTACAACGGGGTACCAAATCGCCAAAGTGCCTTGCCTATAAAGGTCATAATGTATCAGAATTCAAGATTTATTCAAGATTTATACCATGTCTCATTCAACTGACAATACATAAGTTCAAAAAAATAACGTAAATTTTGAAAGACCTAATTACCGTTACGATACTCGAGCGATCTGAGTTTACTTCAAAGACCATACACTGAATCTCGAGAAGTAAGCCAACCACAGAAGTTATAATCCACCGTGCGTGTGTGGAGATTATTGAAACACTTGCTAGAACAAAATGAAAAAAGTGGATACCACGTGCACCGCATGATCTCAAATACCGAGTACGATTTTCTTTTTTCTCACTGGAATGGGTATGCTTCTTTATGAATCCAATCAAATAAAATTGATTGCTTGATAATTTTGTTAAAAGTCATTGACGCCGAAATGCGAGCTGCAAATCTATTCAAGTCCAATTATCAAAGAAATGGATACAATCTTTCATAAAAACCACGTCTAATCCAAGTGGAATAGGCATATAAACCGCAAGTGATGTCTTAAAAAAAAACATCGGAGCCGGTGGATGAAATTAAAGAAATTGGTCCTCAGGCAGGAAATACCGTGATTTGTGCTGGAAAGCTTTTTAATAGCATTATCACGAGGTTTATGTTCTAATAAGATGGGTTATGCCTCATCATACTTTAGATAATGCTTCAGTGAAAATGATTCATAGGGGCATAATCTGATTCAATCGATGATAAAGCGATATGATGTCCGTTAATCTGCGATGTCTGTGCTACGAATTGGTTATGTTCTTGCTGGTTTCTTTTACTCAATCTTGATAGGCTTTTGATTTGCGATGCACAACTGGTAAGTGGTAAGTGCTATTCAATAAAATCCTTGCATCTCTCTCTGGCGATCTTAACGATTATTCGTGTTCGTTTTGCTTGTTTGATTTTTAATTGCATCTTAGCGAAGTGCTTCTGTAGATCTGGAGGCTGATACGCGTCAAGCTCGAATTAACACACTTCTTTATGAGCCATTACCAATAGGCCCAAAGCAACGGCATCAACAGCCGAATTTCCAATAGCAAATGCCGTAATTAAAACCCGATATAACTTTGCAGCGAATATTCGTTCTCTTGAAAGTTCGCTTAAGAACATACACTGCCATATATTGTGCGATATTGGGGTTCCAACTTCTTGAATGTCTTCCCAAATTTGCAAGGAAAGTAATAGGGGAAAGAGGGTTCCATTGTTTGAAATTTTCTATTTTCTATGCTCATGGTGATCGCGTGATGATGGCGTATTTCGACCTTGTTTTAAGAAAGAATTGTCGAGTATCACCGCATAAAAATGTACTTACTAAAACGGTGAACTAGCGTGCTACTTGTGACAATGTTCCAGACTAAAATATGTCGAGTATCATCAATTGTTAAAAGAAGAAGATACGTTCTCCTCGTGTGAGCATTGGCAGGTAGTCATCTGACGGCATAGATATCGTTACAAGAGTTTAGAAAATGTTCCAGAAAAATTCGCTCAAAGTTTAACATGGCCATGACATTTGATGAAAATGACTGGCATATCGCGCCAAGACGTTCGTCCGCGTGTACCCAATAAACGTGCATATGATGCATTACTTATGTAGCCTACCACATGGCACAGCAAAGGGGCATGGCGGTCGCAATGTTTGTGTCCTAGAGCTCGAAATGATGGTTGTTGTTCTTATAAAACGACGCAATTCTGATTTGATATGTATCTAGATAAAACACCACCGTGTACCTGAAACGTGTGACTCAATAAAACACCACAACATGGCGTACCTGAGTGTACCTAAAATGTTTTTCTTCATACGACAAGACGAAGTGGAAGCCAGTGTCCAAACACAACACAGTGAAGTGAACGTGCGTTAACATCCCTTTACATAAAGCTACACGGAAGACTTGTGTGTCAAAACACTACACATGTCAGTTAACTAGAGTGAGTTATTGCTGCACCACGAGGACATGAAATGATGTATTAATTTATTTTGCAAGTCTGTCTAATATCTCTAATGTATTGTAATAAACTCTTATTTTTAATATAATGTTAGACCTGCATAATGAACTTGCAGCATTTCCCTTCTAAAGGCAAACTCGTTTTTATCGGCTTAAACGAGGCACTTATCAGGTGAAGTAAAACAAGGTGTCTCACATATAAACCATAGACATATAACAGCTTACTTTATGGTCTGGCACGGAAAAAGAAATTATATGGAGAAGTTAGTCAAATAGACATTATACTCACAAGATGGAGCAGACCTTCAGAGATGAACAAGCACCATGGCGCCAACGGGTGTACCGATACAATGAAAGCAAAGCCTTGCCAGAAGCGTAGAGAACAAGCCACTCGGACCGCAAGTATACCAGAGAAAATGATCTTGATGTAACTACCACTGCAGGAGAGCTCTAGCGTCTGTCTGTTGTGGGGCTGACTCTTACGTTTATATGTGGTGGCGGTGCTTCAGCAGGCTGCGTCACTCATGTCATCTTCTGTCACGAAATCAACGGTCGATTAGACTTCGAAATCATGAAGATAAATTCAAACTTCGCCAACAATTGTATTAACTAATTAAGTCACGTTTTTTATTTCATTGGTTATTTCCACCTGCCCAGCCTCGTGGTTATATATATAGAACACGTGGACAATACCAACACCCATGACATGAATGATTATTGGCAAGCTTTTTTATGTGGCTTTAATCATCATTTTAATTTTAAAATCAAAATCCAATAAACACGACCCCAAACGCATACACATAGTACAGGTTTGAATTGATCCATTGAAGTATATGTTTTTGAACTCAGACTCTTACACTTATTAACTCTTTTAAGGCTCCGTGTCCGACTTTGATTTCGAAGCCAATTAGCTTTCAACAGGCTTGTTCCTTGCATGGCTGTTCCGTCTTCTAACGCATGTGTTTTAGCCTTTTATTTTCATTTATATGACCTTTTTATCTTCAGTGACATCGATGTTATTGGTATTTATTCATCGTGTGAAAAAAAGTTGACTTAATAACGAGGATTTTTCTCTTTGAAAATGTCTCCACACATCCGTCGTCAGATCTCTCTTGTTAATGCTGTTCATTCCATGGCGGATATTGTAAAACGCGAACTAATTAAGATTTTATTGCAGGCTCCTTGGTCCGCTCTTTTTGTTGCATGAGGAGGCATCACCCTTGACGATCCTTGTAGAGAGTATGATCTCAATCTGACAGTCAACGCAAGGGGCACTTATAAGATTGGTTCGAAAGTTATAAAAACGTATACGCATTTTCTATTTTATTTTTCTAGTTTCTTTTTTAGTTTATTCAACAATATCCCGGTATTGAATGCAGTGATATAAGCAATATTAAACCATATTCACAGGTATTTATTTTTCAGCTTTAGAAATAAATGCTTTCGTTATTGCAATTTTGAAAGCCACAGTTGAAGAACACACGATGGGCTCAGGTTCAGAATCACCGACATACGTTTCGTGTAACAAGTATACTTTGTATGTATATGCTATTGAACTCAAATGGTATTTCCAAGCTTCTACGCCATTGTTGTTGCATTGTTGTAGGTCATTTAACCGTGTTTCATGTGGTTTACACAAACATTCTGTACAATATGTTAAGATAAAGGAAAAACTATGGTAAATATACATTTCGTGTTCAGTGCGTAATACGCAGTGTATACTTACCCGTATTTAGGCTTGGGTCCAGGAGTAATCGCACGTACCTTTTTTATCTGAAACCAAGAGAAGAATTGCATAATTAATGGCTCTTCGTTATTTCGTTTCTGTTTAGTACAACAATCACGGCGCAATAGTGGTAGATATTAAACAAGCAAATGCTCATTACGCTCTCTTTGTTATAGAGTCTACTTTTGATAAATGACCTCAAATTTGTCTTTCAAAACAAAGACCATAAAGCACACCTGTCGCTTCAACATCCTGTTCTGTTTATTTGAATATTCGTTATTGCATAAATCTTATATATCGATTCCTCCGTTTGTTTCGTTGTGGAGAGCTCGCCTACGTGTGGATCGTATCAGTGACGAATGCAGCGTTAACCTGGACAGAATACATTTACCATTTCTACGCGATTCTAATCAAACCCACAGGGCGGAACTGTTTCCTCTGCAAGGCTACTTTAACTTAATTAACTGTTTGGAAAAGGCTGCCCGGCGAGGATGATCTTCCAGTACAAATACGAGATACTAATTACATTATCTACATTAATTGTCACCTCCCTGTCCCGTCCGAGAAAAGATATGTATCACAGCACCAATCATCTTCGAGAAACGCCTTATTGAATTTCAGAAATCGAATTTTGACTCTCATCCATTCTTAAGTTACTTAAGTGGCGATGGCGTCGATGACTTGTTCGATTGTTGTTTTGCAACAAAACCAAAGGCAATTTGCAACATTTCTACTAATATACAGATACAAGAGCAAAACAGAAACCATACAGCTTTTACTGTGGGTGGTTCCATACGTAATGGACTACTGTGTACACTCCATCCTAGTACACTTTCTGCCCAATCACGTACAAAAGCATGCTAAAACATGAAAACGTTTGTCCAACAAATATGAGTAGGTACCTTCTTTGAAGTCAATACACGATAACTGATAAGTGCCGAAAGAATATAACATTGAAAATCGAATGTCTCTACTAATGGCCATGTTTTCGTTTTCTTCGCACGGTATTGTATAGTATGGAAGGTTTTCATGGTGATATGTAAGGGCTGACAGTTTTTTAAAATGAGCTATGTGATTCCAACTTTTGTCAAAATATTGTACCATGAAGAGAGTAATTCAAAAGGAATTAAATACAATAAAAGTCAATAACTTGACATGAAATAACACCCTTGCTTGGACTGAATTGTGACATACATACACGGTGGACATCTACTGTGCACCACTACAAGTAGAAAAATAAGCTCCCTTTTCAATGCATATCTATGTCTATTACAAAGCAGTCAGCCAAAGTTAAAAGCAGAATGTGATATAACCCAGGCCTGGACTCTATGAAATTAGATCCTAAATTGCTGTATAAACGTAATAATACAATCGGTCTGTAGAATCATCGACCGAGTCAGCATCACTGCCACTGTTTCACCAATTTAGCCTGTCATCTAACTGTCTTTGTAGTTTCCCGCACAGCCTATTACGTGGGTCAAATCAGAGATGGAAACGAACGATATGGATGCTTCCCTGGCACTGCCTTCTGCAACATAGAAGATAATCGTCGTTGGAGCCAACCTAATGTTTCTTTTGGCGACGAGTTTCTTCAGAGATCTGTTTTTTCAGTTAGTTAGTAATTTGCGTCTGCTATCTGCTGGTAGTTAATGTGTTACATGGATGTTATGCTCGCAACATACTTTGACATTTTTGTTTCATTACAATTTTGCATAAATTTCCAATTTGTCTAGATAACATTTACGGTAGGTAAATACAATATGCATCGAATCAGAAGAACATCACGTTTTGATATTTGCAATAGTCTAAACAATTAACATTTTGGCACCGGCTACCAAAATGCACAAAAGGAAAAATCGACAATTGGGCATTATGATGTTTATTTGAAGTCCAAGGCACGTGCACATGACCCTTCCAATATTGTCCCAAGTTTGAAAAGATCTGGCAGCTTAGAGAGTGAGTGAAGAGTGAGGGCATGCTGAAAACTGAGCGTTGATCTCCTGACCAGAGTCTTTTAAATGTGGTATGACATGGAACAGGACCATCGGTTGTCCTTTGGGGCGACAAACCAATTAAGATATAAATCGAAACTACAGAAAATGATTTGCTTAAATGCGTCAGGCATTTCCTTCGCATCAGTCAAGCAGAGATAGTATCAGACCGTGTTCACGTCAATACAAAAAAGGCTGTTTTAAATATTCCTTGGAGTCAATTGTGCTGGAATACTATGAGGCTCCGTACAAACGGCTGCTCATTAATTTTGTAATTCATAATGAAAAAGGTGATAATTGTTCTGTGTCCTTTTACAGCAGGACTCTACTCAAACAGGCTTGTATCTGGTATGGCATACTTTTAAAAATGTTATTAAATAAGTTCGATGTAAGAATTATACCGGCTGACAAACCAGAATGAATGGCATACAGATACATTAGAATCTCTGTTCTAACTAATTATTACTGCCATCACAATTAAATCCCGCGATTAAAAGGCGGCATCACAGAGGAATTGACTCATAAAAAATTGTCATCAGACACATAAAGTGGGATTAGATGCCCATGTTGAGGTGAATCCATCAACCAAACCAAAAAATGAAGAAGCGGTTACCTCAGGTGCATGTAAAGCGCATCTTTGCATACACTCCTAAGCACAACTTCAATGACATCCTGTCGTCCAACATGCACCAACCTGTACCAACGTGTACTAACGTGTGTCAACATGTACCAACGTGAACCAACATGTACCAACGTGCACTTATATGTGTCAACATGTACCAACGTGAACCAACATGTACCAACGTGAACCAACATGTACCAACGTGCACTTACGTATGTCAACATGTACCAACGTGCACTAACGTGTGTCAACATGTACCAACGTGCACTAACGTATGTCAACATGTACCAACGTGCACTAACGTGTGTCAACATGTACCAACGTGCACTAACGTGTGTCAACATGTGCCAACGTAAACCGACATGTACGAACATGCGCCAATATATACCGCCTGCTTGCTTCACGTAGAAGCATGGCGGCCTAACACTTAACCATTGTCATTTGGCACTACTTTTTGCCTTAATTTATTTAATTCACAATATGAAAAATAAATACATGAACTTCATATATCATACTTTTTGTGAAATGCTTTTCTTTAACTACATAGCAAAATATAACAGGAAGAAAATTAGAGAGCATACTAGTTAGTTGATAGACACTATTTTTGTGATTACAGTTTACTTATTACAAATAAATTATTTTACATATCTGAATGCTATTAAGAGTAATAAGAATATGTTATAAATAGTTTAAATGTACAAGATGCACACTCAATATAAATATCTGATCAAAAACAGAAGACTTTTAACCTATTTCCTCCTCCGCCAAAGAAGTTACGCTTTTGGTTCTGTTACTTCGTTAGTAAGTTAGTTAGTTAGTTAGTTAGCTCGTTAGGAACTTTTCAGGTTAGACCAGAAATTCACAAAAGAATATATGTTGGTGATGATCCACCAATTAATAAATGGTTTATAACAAGTTAATTATATGTCTTGGCCGAAGTCTTCGCTGTCTGAATGCTTTTCTATTTGAACG